CTGTTATTCACTTTATCGTGCTCCGTGGAAAACAATTGGCAAAAGGTAGTCTCCTCGATATTACTGTCGTCAATCGATCGAGAAATAAGAAAATAACAGGAAAAGGAAAACAAACTGACATTGATCATCTGTGAAATGGTGACAAGGAAGTTTGCGGATACTAAAACACTGCTCGTAAAAGTCAGAGACGTAATAATGTATAAACCATCCCGATAATGATTCATACCTTGTCTTTCTCGAGTTCCACCGAAATATTGTCCAGATCACAGATAATCCCCCAGGATCATCTTAAAAAATAAAAAAAGTGTACTATCCCACATATGTGCTTGCAGAAAATAAAAAAACCGACATTTCTTTCTTTTGCAAAGATATGTAGCTAATCGACAAGAAGCTGGCGATAATTAATATAAGTAAATGTTTAATTATAATTTATTTTAATTTACAATTATTGTGATTGCACGTTATAAAGTTTCAATTTTCTTTTTCTTTTTTAAGTTTCCATTTTCTTGTGTATATATATTTGTTCATAATTATTATATTATTACAATTTATTTAATACGCAAAAGGTTCATTGAATATGATAGACATCTCAATAAAAATTACAATAACATGTTGATAATTTTTCTTAGTGACACAATTGTATAATTAAACATTTACTTACATTATATAGAAAAATGTTTCTTCATACCTTCGCGTGTTATTTTTTCACGTATAGAATTAATACCGTAGTCCTTAGTTTAGGACGGCCCAAATATATCACTTACGACAGAAAATTTAATATAACAGAAGATAAGTTTTGAATCCCCGTATTTTTCCTCGAGGACGACCAAAAAGTTAAAGGTGTGTATCATTCGTGTCACGTTAGAAAAATAAGAAAGGTCTGATCGAAATGTATCGGAAACAATTCGTGTATACAAGCAACGATTTCCATTCCACGTCGAAGTTGTATTCTCGTGACAAATAACTGTTAACACACTGCGACTATTCTTTTATCACGATTGAGATATTGTCGAAATCCTGTCAGCAAATTTCAGATGTCATATCGATCAACAGAAAGTCATCGAATATACATTCGTCGAGATGATTAAACATTTATGCATGAACTTTGTCTGATCTTTCCATCAAAGATAGTTTATGTAAGTACTCTATTTTGAATAGAAAATATGTTTCGTACGAAATCATATATTTCAGAGCAAGATATCTCCCGCAGATTACATATAGGATACAAAGTTACAATAAAATATTGAAAATATAATAATGTACTTTATGAAATACTTCTAGGAAGAATATAAGAACAAAAAGAAAAAGAGCGAGAAAGAGAGAGAAAGGGAGAAATACAACAATAGAAGCTTTTACTTTCCTAACTCAAAAATTGGATGTAATTTTAAATTTTGTTTATAACAGAGTTACTTTTTAGGAGAGTACCATCTCTTATAATACGATACTCTTTTATAATACAATAATTCATTAATATTATTACGCCGTGTAGTAATTTGTTTATGCGTTATACAATATTATTCAATTGTATCATCTTACAATTAGACTTAAAAAATATAATAACTCCTATCAAAAAATTGCGCTTTCAGCCTTTCGCTCTTACCTTTCTCAGATATATTTCACAAAGTGTATTATTGCATCTCCAATGTTTTCCAACTCTAATCTAATAGAGTTACGTGTGTCGAATTTCCTTCAGCCATATTCTACAGATTTCAGAATATTATGCTTATCAATTCATGTTGTTTTGTTAAAATATGTATTAATAATTGGCATTGCGTTCAATAGAGTACAACATGAGAAGTTAATGATTTATTCTAGATATATAATAATAATGCACGCAGGAGCCGATGCGTAACTCTAATATTGATACAAACAGAATTCACGCACCGTAAAATAACGATTTCCCTTGGGCATTTAAACCCATTTAAATAATTATTATTGCGCAGTAGATACTCCATTAAATGTCCCATGTGCAGACAAAGTTATATTTCAGATTTAAGGCTGACTGTCTCACATGTGATTCTAAATGCTTTCGTGAATCAAACAACGTAACATTATATGAGACGTGCAACGATATAACGTCCGAAAGCTTTAGCTTCAAAACGTTTTTTCAAACCGAATAATCCGCGATTGAAAATAAAATATAGAATCATACAAATCTGTACGGAAGCTTCTACTGCGATACCATTAAGAAAAGGCATGCTCTTGCTCGCCCATATAAAACACGTTCTCCGCGCTCAACTCAGTGTAATGGCTTTCCAGTGTTAGGTATATAATATGCATGAGGCCGAAAAAACTTCAAAAAAAAACAGAAACGAAATAATAAGGTCAAAAAAGGCGAAAAAGTAGCCAAAAAAGAAAAAAAGGAATAATTTATTCAAACTCTTCAAAATCAATGAGTTTATATCCAGATACTGAGAGCATAAAATAGTAATCTCTATAAAAATTCAATTCGGAAAATAAGAATTCAATATCCTTTCTATGTGTTAAAAGAATTATTTTGCCATAAAATGTTTGCAAAGTAAATCAAGAATTAAATCTAAGAGACAATGTAAAATTCTAGCGTTTAAATTTGCACAATTCTTAATATTAATTAAATAATAATGAAATATATTAAAATTATAATAGATTCGATAAAAAGAGTAAGAATAGGTTTTGCGTAATAAAAATTTTAGGTATGTATAACTAGCAAAATTATTGATTACTTTTCTCCGCCTTGTTTCGTAACGTTACACTTAAACAAGCCCCTCTTACTAAAACGAGCAACTTTGCGCTGGTCACTATAACCCCCTATCCACTTTAGCCCCTATCGCCCTTTACGGATTACTATGGAAACGCGATCTAAGGTACTATTCCATCGTGTCTATGTATAACGGGGAAAATTGAATTCATTGAAATTATACCAGTTTCTGCACGGATCGACTTTGAACGACGAGTTTCGAACGGAAATACGAAGCGCACGTTTTCAATCGAACACGAATTGCTACGCGTTGTTATCTGCGCTCATTGTAAGCCTCACAAGCTCAGAGAGGCGACATACGAATCTTTGGAGGTTTCTGAGAGACGAAAAGCTCAGCACGGCATGTATTAATACCAGAAATTAACGCCGGAATGGTGTTACAAATTGTTTCACATATTCAAAATGATTCTCGCTGTCACGTGTATTAGGAGATATTGCGCAATGCCTGCACTTTGCAACGGAGAATACAGAATAATAAGAAGGGAGATTCATCACTGAGCTCCATTAAACACCACCGCAGTACAATGTTACTATAACGCAAGGAAATATAGAAATTTTTATAATGCGAGATTATAAAATATTATTTAGTTTTTCTTTCTTTAAAAATCTCCGAAGAAATTAAAAAAAACAATTATTTGTATTTTTACATGAATAGTAATAAATAAACATTTGTTTTTAACCCCATTATTCTAAAAATATTTAAGAGAAGAGAATATTTAATTTTAAAAGAATTGCAACTGCCCAGATTTCTACGCTTTTTCGCGATTATCCTCCATTTAGAATGTTTAATGTTAAATTCGAACATTTAATCTCATATTTTATGTAGCTATATGTAATATGAGAATTGCGTTTGCGTATTAATGTGAGATACATATCAGAGAACATTTAGCATCAAATCTGTGATGACAATACGGAACTGAGTGTATTCATGAAACATTCCCCTATCTACGACCGCAGTATTTTCGTACATCATCACCATGCGTTTAGAGCGCCCCAATTTTCAGGCAAATTACTCGATTAATTAACTGAACATACCAATCAATTGATCACTTCCACTGAACCGATTGCTCCGATTTACTAACGCTAATCCACATTTGTAGGTGCTAATTACGTTCGCTATTCAAAGATACCGAAGCGCGTACGTGGATTCCATTCGCGAAAGGGCCGTTCTATTAACACGAGACAAACGACGAATGCAGTTGCGAGAAAAAGCAATTCTCACTGATGCGGAGATTACATTGCTACGTCAAAGCCGAGTCGGAGATCACTCCCATATCGTTGCAACCGGAAGCTGATACCGATGGCTGATACCGAAGCGCGCCGATGACAGGAGACAAACCCGAGTAAAGAGCAAGGCACTTTAGCGAGGGATGCGCTTTAACGAGAATCACAAGCGAAAGGACCGATAAAAGAGAACCAGAAAAAGTATAGCAACTAGGAAAAATAAAAATGAAGCGTTCTACTCTGATGCGAGGCGACCAGGAACCAGGATTTTTCTTCCGCCCAGTAATGTATGCCGACATTTTAATGGTTCCTATTGTTAACTCAGATTTCTCCCTCTACCACCCGCACGAGATTTAGACTGTTTCCTTTTCTCGCAGAATTGTATAGCGCCACGATTCGATTGTACACAAATATCGCAACGCTCTGCGTTGTGATTTGATAAAATTAAATCTCCCAGTGTGACGATGCTTCCAATGTTTTCTAAATATTCTTTCTCCTTTTACAAAGAAAAGATGCCATTAAGAATAAAGACAGTAAGAAAGAAGATTACATAAGGATAAAATAAAAATAAGCTTATTTGTATAGCTTCTCCACAGCATTGTTCGATAAACAACAATTTACGCAACATATTATACAATTTTAAAATAAGAAAGATATAAGAATGTATGGAATTATGTAAGTGAGTCTTAAACCACGATAACAAATAATTTAATTTACACTTTTTTCGTATAGGTTTATTTCCAAGAAAAGATTTCAATTAAGATTAAATCTTCACTTGTGTGCCTTACGGATTGCCGCGTCCAAGAATAAAGAGATCCGAACTATATTCACGCTTTCATCGCGAAGACGCAAAGAACTGCTTTGACAGACGAGAAAGGACAGTAAATACGAGGGTGGAGAGGGAGACAGAAAGAAACAGAATGAAGGGAGGAAGATATAGAAGGGGACTAGAATGGAGAAATGGACGCAGGCGCAAAAGCTACCCCAATGTACCGAGGCGTCGCGACGCCTTTTGCTTCATTCGACGTCCGGACGTCAACTTACCACGCACATGTGGAACCGCGCGACGCTCCTCTCACATTCCTACCTAACGTAAAACAGCTGTGTTGTTCGCGATAGAATCGCTAGTAAAGCGAAAAAATCGCGTAACGATCGGTGCGAGTGTGATAAGTATCACGAAGAATTAAGATAAACTGTTATAAAGAGCGAAAAGCACGATAAAACGAGCGATCTCAAATTAGCGCTCGAAGTAATTTTAGCTGGTGGCATTTCCGCGATCAAAAGCTCGCCTAGTGATCGGTTGAGTGGGAGCGGTAATTCGATCCGCAAGCGGTGAGGGAACTGGGGGAAGTGGAAAATTGAAAGCGGAATGTTTGTGCATCTCTCCGTCCGGATTGACGATAATGCTCGTTTCGTGCTCGAACGGTTATTACGCTGTGCGTAGAAAAGTGAGTCCCTATGGCACTCGAGGATCATTCGCGCTACACCAGGGTGCGGCAGCCACGATTAATAACTGAAGCGTCCTTCTCACACGTGTCACCGGTCGTACGTGTCACATGACGCTGTGTGTCCTGCACGCGACACAAAAATTCAATTTGCTCGAAAAGTCGCGATTCCTCGAATCATCACGGAAAACTGGACTCCGCACTGGCAGCGCAACTGATTTATAAAAAAATTAATGAATCATCATCCTCTTTAATCGTAATCCTGTCTACTAATTAATAATGCTACTTGATATTGACGTCAGACACTTGAATAATTTAAATCTCTGATAAGAAATATGTTAACCTTTATCGTTGTAAAAGAGAGAAACAAGCTTGATATGTGTCATACAAAAGCTTGATATTGTTAGTGCGCGGAATCGATTTGTATCTTTTAAGCGCTAAAACAAACTCCAAAATGTGAAATATAAAAGTTGAGGTGACTGCACTCATACTAGACTCTCCACTTGGAAACGTTAAATTGTCACACGATAACAATAATAATAACGAAAAAGTTTTATTACTATTACGATTCGGCGTTTCGTGTTCTCTTCGATAGCGTAAAAGTTTGTCCAAAACGCTATCGACTCTGATCATTCGAGTTAAATCGAAGGACAGGATCCTTAATCGCGTGGTAACTTTATCCTTTCTTTCATCTCTGCGCGTGTACGAGTACATATCGTCTCAAAGTTATCGCGCGATTTCCAGTTCGAAGAACGTAGAAAAATTATCACATTCTTTCGATGTCGCGCCAGTGAACAGTGATTCTCGCCTTCTCATCGAACTTAGTCAACCGAAATTTTAAAGTGAATCAAAAATGTGATATAAGTAGGCGACGGATTGATTCGATTATTCCGATCACATCTCCCTGAAGTGACATCGAAATGACGAAAACGTTTTCCCGTTTGCTGTGAAACATGCCAATACCGGTTTATAAATTTTCCCTAATGTTTAGAATCGCTAATAATTAGCACTGCTAAATAAAGTACAATTATTGTAATATAATAACTGTAACCTGTGTGTGATAATTGTCTTCGTTAATCTGACAGTGATAACTTCCAAGTAACGTATTTATAACTATAATCTTAATTCGATTGGCAGTATTAAAATACGTGTAAGTCGTCATCACCGACAGCTGCAACGTGATATAATTGCAAATTATTAATGTAATTTTATGATATCTAGTGATTACGATAAATCGCTATTTGTTTATCGGAAATTTTAATTCCGATTAACTCACGTTACTTCATTTGTGTAACGTTCTTCATAAAAAAGAAAAAAAACAGTAAGAGAACTATTGTCACAGATGGTAATGATTCAGCCGAGGGAAATTAAAACTCGAAAGCGCGTGAAAAAAAGAAGAGTTTGTTAATCTTTCCGTATATCCCACAGTGGAAGTGCACTTTACTCGTTCGCAGGACCACTTCATTTCGCGAAGATGAATGTCAGTCTGAACTTTACGCTGGAACCCACGGGATATACGTGCGGCAAGTGCTTGGAATCCTTCCACGATTGGTATACTCAGGTGCACGGTTGGGCTAGTCTATTGGTATGCATATTCGGCTCAATCGCCAATGTGCTCAATATCGCCGTGCTGACGCGTCGCGAGATGCAATCGCCCACTAACATGATTCTCACCGGTCTCGCCGTGGCTGATCTCCTTGTAATGATCGAGTACATTCCCTACGCAATCCACATGTACCTCTATCAACGATCCCGCAGAGATACCTTCACTTACGGCTGGACCATCTTCGTGCTGTTCCACTCGAACTTCACCCAAGTATGTCACACGACCTCGATCTTCTTGACGGTGACTCTGGCGGTCTGGAGATACATCGCGGTGGCACATCCACAGAGAAATCGCGAGTGGTGCAGCAACAAGCGCACTTTTCTGATGATCGCCTTCGCTTATGTGTCCTCCCCGATACTTTGCATACCGCTTTACCTCAACACCGAAGTGAGGCCGCAAGTGGAAGTGTTAGACGAAAAAGGGATGAGCATAAATATGACAAAACTCGAGCAGACGGTCAACAGCACGGTCGCGTATCCCGAAGGCACTAACACCACGCTGTATTTCGTGAAACTCGCCGAATCTCCGATAAGCAATGTTCTCAAGGACATCAACGTCTGGATCTACAGTGTGGTGATCAAGCTAATACCATGTGTGGCTTTGACGGGATTGAGTATCAAGCTGGTTAAGGTGTTACTGGAGGCAAAACAACGGCGGAAGAAACTCACTACAAAGAACACCGCGATCAAGATGGGCAATGGCAAGGGGAACGCTTGCGAGAAACCCAAGAAGAGAAGAAAGGGCAACGATAAAGAGAGACAGACTGACAGGACTACAATGATGTTGTTGGCGGTGCTCCTGTTATTCCTCGTCACGGAAATGCCGCAGGGCATTTTAGGATTGCTCAGCGTTATGTTGGGTCCGAGTTTCTTCAACACGTGCTACGTGATGTTGGGTAAGTCAAGAATATATCAACATTGACCAGAAATAAATATATAATATTATATTATTATTTCGCATTATTTAATATAATATTATCATCTCAGAAAATAGCTAGGATGTATTCTAAAATCTTTCTAAATTTTGTTTCTAGCCCGATTGTTATGTGCAATCGAGTGCTTACATTCAACAGTTAAATTTTTGTACAATACTTAAGAAGCGTACTTCTTCGTTTACTCGTTTAATCAATTTTATAATTTAAATGCTCGAAAAACACGAAAGCAGTGGATAATTCGTGCACTGTAGTATATAAGGATATGTCACACTTGTTATATATTCGTTGTACATATCGCGAGGGCTGAGATTTAATTAATAAATTCAATTGTAATTTAACAGATTAATATTTGATCGCTGCTGTTGTGACAATGACGAATGTGCAAGAATTAAACTCTGTATAATAACGATGACACTGTTTATTATTCATTTTATACGTGTCGTGTATGTTGTAGAATTGTAGATAAAGTTTTATTTCCATTCTCAATTTTAATAAAAGTTTTTATATGATGTAGCAATAAAAAAGTGAAAATATTGCTTTACGATATCATTTCCACGTAAAAGCTTTAATGATTGCTAATGCAATTCACGTGCGGGATCATTAACCGGCATTATTCACCGCATAATGTATTTCTACTAAAAGTATGTCATAAAGAAGATGTGTTGAATTTGATAAAAATTGATATTAAGCCGCAAACTAGAGGGAAAATTACTATGGCAGACATTCGAGCTGATGAAAATTGAGTCCATACGATTCAGGAACAAAAAAGGCGATTTAAATTCAAGCCACGAGACTCGTACGAATCTCGAGTATTTGCTGTGAATTTCATGAATTTGTCTATAAGACGTCTTTGTTTGTGGGAGCACCGTAAATAGAAGAACACGCTACTGCACTCGACATTTACGATAAAGCATATAAAACTTCTATCGTAAAAGTTCTTCCGGAGTAAAAGAGCGTCATAGCGTGAAATATGACAGTCCGATAGTTTGTATAAAGAAGTTTTAATAAGTGCGATCTCCGTCGGATAAGTAACTGTTAAGGCAATATTTCACGCGCAGAACGATAAGTCATTAATGTTCGTCCCCCTAATTGGTATAATATTTTAAAAATTGCCAAGATAATATAACGAGTCCAAGACTTGTTATAAGATTTCAAATTTATTGCAACATTAAGTTTATATTATTGGAATTGTTGATTAGCTAATAATAAGAAATTTTATAGAAAAGCGATTTTCTATTTAAAAAAAAAAGAAAGAAAAGTGCTGTCTAAATTATATATAATGGTCACTCTGGCGAAAGATCATATGGTTAATAATTGACGTACTTGATATTACAATGTCTCATGCGTGAAATATGAAATTGAGGCGGAAACAGTGTTACGCGGATCAAATTATGCATTTCACGAACATTAAATATGTTTACTTTACGTCACCGGCATTTTCATCGTCATCACGTTTAATCTTCATTTTACATCATCATATATTATATGTCGCTCTGAAATTGTTACGAGAGTGTTATGAGTGGTTGAAAGCATAGCAAATACTTTTAAAAGCAGTATATTAATATATTATGTCAATTATAACTTATTATCAAAATCTGTACTTTTACGGTACTTTATAACAACGCGATATTTCATCATACTTCATATTATATCATTTTCATATAAAATTGGCTTACAATAATGTGTTTTGAAATTATCGTCACTAGACTACAAGTGTGTAATCGCACTTTATTAGATTTGCTACGCTAAAAATTATTGGAATATCATCTCTTATTTTATATAAAAAGATAATAGAACAGAAATGCTAATATACTAATGTTGATTTCGTTCCTTTCGTAACAAAAACACGACACAATTACGACAAAATATTTAAAAAAAATCAATATCTCCCTCTTTTATCATATACATAGTCATATCGTAAAATTATACCGAAAGCGGGAAGAGTGTCGCGCAGAATGCCGTGTGTAACAAATCTTCTCCGCTATAGGATCCAAATGCGACATAATAAGATCTTTTTGCTCCGTCGGAATATTGAATCGGAAAAAGGACCAAATACTGGCTGCTAGATGTCGAAACTTTGTAAATATTATATGAAATTCTCTATGTCTGAACCTTTTCAAAGTTCGGATTCTTTGCTGATATGTTATATCGTACATCAAATCAATCCATCAATTATTTTAATAAATGGAAGAAAAACATTTCTTTCATATCCCAAAGGAAACTGCAGTATCTGAGGGTAACTCATTTTCTCATCTCATTGCGTTAGTCCCTTTTAGCTTCGCGATCCAATTATCGAGAGCGAATACTTTTGTAAGATAATTTGAATATTTTCGTCAAATAAGTTATAAAGTATATAATATGTATAAAAGTGATACTTTCGTTATGATTTAAAGCCTTGCGCGGTTCATGAATATCTTGAAAATCGCAAACTTTCCCCTATTTTCCCGTTAGCAAAAAATAAATTGAGGATCTGCGGTAGAACGCAGATCACATCGGACGAGACGTATAGATAAAAATATGGATTTTCACTAATTATATCAAAGAAATATTTGATCATAACTTTATCATTTGTAAATTTGATCTATCGTAATTGTTTATATAAAAAATATTATTGTTATTACACGATCGTATCATCCTAAATTAAAAACCACCCAAATAATTTCGTTAACTTGAAAAGTTCATATCTTAGAAAGAATCATATTTTAGAATGTACAATGGTCTAAATATAAATTAAAACTAGAATTTTAAGTTTTTAACTATCCGAAATTTTAAATATTTTAAGATACATATTTGAGATCAAAAAATTGGAAAATGTAAAATTTCGAATTTACAAATATTTAAATATCAAAAAGAGTTTTGAACGTATCTCACGATTGTGAATCCTGCGAACGACAGGCGATTTTATATACATTTTCAGTTAGATTTGCCAGTTTTTGATAGACAACTAGTAGTGGAGTCTCGTTTGCGTTCTATCTTCGATTGGCGTATTCTAATTAACACGTGTATTTTCATCAATATTGTAATCATACCAAATGTAATCTTGTATGGCGAAAGCAAAGGTCAACAAGCATCGTGTACCTATGTGCACGATACGTCGATACATACACCACCGCTATTCACTCCTCGATTTAACCGCGGGGTATCATGGAAAATACATATTTTTCTCTTTGTGCCGAAGATTACACGGATATTACAAAGATATTAATAAGATGTCAGTAAAAGACTGTCAGATCTTTTCAAACGTTTTTTCTTCCGTAATTTGTTTTTATATCTTCACCAACAATTACTGATTTGCGATTGGTTACGAGTTAAATACTCATCTCATTTAAAGTCATTAAGATTCTCTATGTTTCAGGAAAAAGAAAAGAGAACAAATAGTTAAATTAACCTGTCTGCTTTTTTTTCATTATCTTTACATAAAGGATCGAAAGTTATATGTAACCATTTCCATAAAACAATCAAATTAAACTTTTGTACCTGGAAGCGGTGCAAGTAAGCTTACTGAAACTAATTGCACGGTGGCCTGCTCGAATGTGAGTTCACTATCTAGTGAGCGAAAATATATTCCACTTGCCAGTTCATTAGCAAATTGAATACATTTTCTTTCACTGTTGATACATGCGGCATCAGATTCCTACATATATTCAAATTTCAATTCGTATATCAATATGAGATATGAGGGAAGTTGACATAAAAATTTCACATCACGTACTACCACAATTTCGAATTTCAAACGAGTAATTTTTATTATGAGACTTTTCTCTGTACGTGCGTGTATATCGATAGCGGATGCGTTTGGCAAGCAAAGAAAATTTGCGCTACGTACGATTATTCGCATATATTATCCCACTGCTGAAAATTCTCAGAAAGACTCGATATCTCGGTCGTATATAGAAATTATTTTAATAAGAGACACTAAAAAGCAGACTTGATATAAATAAGCTATTTGTCGAGAAAATTGTTTCCACGAACGACGGAGAATATGATGTTAATGCAGAAAAAATGAGATTCTATATATAAAACAGTAGGTTTCATTTGCTTTACTTATTCGACATGTATAGCCAATATAGCGACAAGTGGAAAGTACAAATAAAAATTTCCTTTAGAGCCAACTTTTGACATTTATACATGACGTCCGTAAAGTCACCTAATAAATTTAATTTGTGTGACATTATGACGTACGCGATAGTAACTCGTAACATAATTTCCGTTGCTGCATTTATATGGTATTTGCTACTGTTAACTTTCTCGTACTTATAACAACCGGCCACATGGTACTGGGCGCGTGAAGCATATTATGATGTAGTGTTTGAATATACGTAGTTCGTATTGAATAATATTCCTATTAGCACAACATTAACGGACTGTTCGCGTCTCGCCACTGATGACGACAGAGCGCAAGTTCTTCAACTTCCCTGACTGTACATTGCGTCAACAAAGTGCGTCCTTTAAAAACAACAAATGCTACTGCGCTCGCAACAACAAACAGGAGCGGCTTTACCAACGATCCTGTTATGCTAAATGCTAAGTAGCGACGGATAATGTATCGTCTTTCTTGTGCAACTTGTTGAAATTAAAATTACGTACGTTTGATCAAAAGTTAGATAATTAATAATGCAAGATTAAAAAGCGAGAAAGATATATATGAAAATTTGTGCAAAATAACGAACTTATAATTGAAATTTTTCCAGACCATCTGGCGTGTCTCCGATATCATCTAACAAAGTCTCGTAAAAAAACATGAGAATAACAATTTCTGAATGTGGAACTTATAATTTGATCCTATGATTCAGAGAGAGAGATAAAATTTTAATTCAAAAATGTAAATTTTATACTTTTTACAATGTTAGAATATCCGTCTAAATTTTTTCGTTGGATCGACCAAAAATAAGTATTACGTGAGTTATCTTGTAGAAAGATTTCATAGAAATAAAAAGATAGTAAATTATCTTATTATTTTC